AATCTGTTGCAAAATTGACCATAGGAAAATGAAGCATTATAAATAAAATAACTATAGAAAAACTTTATTGGTTATCAAGTTTACACCCTTTGAAGCAGCCACTCTTGGCCTCATTCTTTCCTTCCTCCCTAGCAGAATGTCATTTTGACTGCCTTAAATACCCTTTCCCTCTGAAACGGGAGTGATTTGCGCAAGGCTGACCCTGCCCTCAACTTGTGGGATGGGGTTTGATTAATCAAAACCAATCGTTGTAAGACTACCCCCCCTTGGCCAGAGATTGGTTCCATTATCCAGGGTTAAGCTAATCAAGACTTGATAGCCTCTTGAGTTCAATTGGTCTAATCAGTCCAAGAAATTTTATTCCATGGGCACAAGGAAGACTCTCTATGCCTCTTTCTCTGATTCTCTTCCTGTCTGTTTGAAGGTAAGAACAAGAAAGCCCCACTTGCTGCTGGGGCACATCTTCAGGAAAGAAGCCAGTCTGAGGACAAGCAGCACTGAGAGCAGGGACCCAAAGGCCTGGCCCTACCCACCTGAGCTCACCCTAACTTGATAGACAGGATGAAACACTTCCTCAGCACTGAAGCCAGTTTCATTTGGGTGACCTGCAGCTTGCAGAAGGAAATATCCCAAGTCGTCCACACAGCCTGTAGTGAGGAATCCAGATACTGCGCATGAACAAATTAATTTTAATTTCCTTAAGTCTCTTAGATTGGCATCTATCTATGTTAGGTCTATTAAGGCTTCTAAACAACTTCTGTTTCAGATATTCCTCTCTGAGATAAAAGTTACAGGACCTCAAGTCAGCAGAGGCAACACTACTAGTCTTTATTTAGAAGTTATAACCAAAGCTAAACCCGTCGCTGTAAGGTCGACTGCAACCCATGGTGACCCTATAGGACAAAGTGGAACTACCCCATAGGCCTTCCAAGGCTGTAATCTTTACAAAAGCAGAATGCCACATCTTTCTCTGGTGGAAAGGCTGGTGGGTTCAAACTGCGGACCGTACGGTTGGCAGCTGAGTGCCTGTGTCACCAGTGCTCCTTTAGTAAACACAACAACTGTGCTCCACTAGGGAGATGCAGCCTATATGTTTGCCTTCCTTCTGCCGCTGAACATCTAGTGAGTCTTTTATTGTTTCCTTAATGCTTCTTCAAGCTATGCCATCATCCTCTTCTTCAAAAGTCCTCCTTTGATCCCACATGCCCCTCCAGAGCAACTAGCTCATTTGTTTCCATTTAAAGAAATGTTTCTCCAAAGATGTGTCTGAAATTCCTGTCTCCTCCTCTGTATCTCTAATTCTATCATTCAGTCTTTACAAATGAGGCTCCGTTTCCATTGTCCCATTGAAGTTACTTTCATCAATGGCCTCTGTTTTGTCAAATCCAGTGATTACATCTATATGCTCAACTTAGTTCCCCCTCTCTTGAAATAGCTTACTCTCTAGTTTTCCCCCATACGACACACTTCTATTAACTCACAGGCTGTTCCTTCTTAGTCTCCTTTGTTGACCCCTTTAGTACTCAACCTCAAAACGCTGTTTATAATCCTGTCTCCCTTACTGGACTGTGAGGTTGTTAAAGACAGATGTTTCTTACTCATCTTTATATCAGCAGCTGGCACTGCAGGCACTCAGTGAGTGCTTGCTGAACTGAAGTGCATCTAATTGGCCCATGCCAGTTCACAAGTTCACCAGTAAAAAAAACAAACTCACTGCTATCTACTGATTCTGACTCACAGTAACCCTACAGGACAGGGTGGCTCTGCCCCTTAGGGTTTCTAAGGCTATAATCTTCACAGAAAGCAGACTACCACATCTTTATCTGTTATTTTGATGCTTCCTTTATTTCTTGGATCTTTTCCTTTTTTTTTTTTTATGTTTGTTACAGAAAACTAGCAGGTATGATGAGAGACCAGCTCAAAACTGGTCTGGCTTTGACTGACAGAGAAAGAGCCACATCAGACTCTGTAGCTGAAACACAGCAGCACAGAAGAGAAGATGCCTGAGTGTTTGGTCTGTTAGCTCGAATGGAGCTATGGTGAGCCTCGACTGCCTTGTTGATCTGCCTCGCCTGGGAGCTACTGAGGGATTTCCTTTCAATCTGTTGAATTATTTTTCAAATGAGAAGTTTCTGCTGAAGGCAAAGGATGTATCGGGAAATGCCTTTTAATTAGTTTATTATCAATTTCCATAGGTACTCTAAAAAATAAGCATTGTTTTTAGTTAATAGCTTATAGAGTAAATCTAGTACTTTTAGATTACTCAAAAAAAAAAAAAAAAACCCCAGAAAATTAAGGGATTTGGAACAAGATTTTGCAAAAAAGATACTGTTTAAGTGACAAAATGAAAACTCTTTCTAAAAATAAAAAGGTAAGTTATCTCTAAAATAAATAATTCTGGCATTTTAAATTATACAAGCAGTCCCAGATTACAAACGTGTTTCATTCCTAAATCTGTACTTAAATCAAATTGGTACTTAAGTCAGAACAGTCAGATATGGTGTGTATGTAATGTCAGTTGGTCAAATATTTGTCTCAGTACAGAGTACACAGTGTATCTTTCTATGCATAAAAAGCACTAAAGGAACACTTCCAGATATACTAAATCATTTCTAACGTAGTAACACAGTGTGGCTGCAAGGATGGTCTCAGGTATAGCAAAGATTGTGAGGCTGGTGCAAGACTTGGCAGTGTTTTGTCTTGTTGTACACAGGGTCGCTATGAATCGGAGCTGACTCAATGGCACCTAACAACAACAACGACGACAATAATGTTCTAACGCAAGTCACAAAGTAGCAGCTGTTTATTATTACCAACCATTGCACATACCTGGAATATTTAATATAATAGGCTTTATAGGGGCTGGTTCATAACTAGGCTTGTACATACATTGGACATTCATAACCCAGGGACTACCTGTACTTGATGATACCTGCCCCACTGTGGAAGAACTCTGACTTACCTCTGCCAACCCCCATGCAGCTGCAGGTCTGCAGAGGAAGTTGAGTTGGATTATAGTTGAATTCCTCATCCTTTCCATAACCATCCCCCACCCTGGCTGGAGACAGATGAGCAGGCATCATAACTTTTTCCTTGAAAGCTTAGTTAAACGGAAGCTCAATTCCCCGCCCTTCCTATAATCACCCCCCCACCCTGGCTGGAGACAGATGAATAGGCAGGATAATGTGTTTCCTTAAAGTTGTTTTTCAGAAACAACCATTACCAACTTGGATTCAGTTAAAACCGGCTCAGATCAGTTTTGGCCCACAGATATGTGCAGTGAGACAAATGGGAATGAAGTTGCTCAGAACTCCCATCTCCCCATCTGTCTAAGCCCCAATCAGCTGATGACAGGAAGCTGGTATAATTCATCCAGTGCACAAGTGCATAAAAATCGAATGTCCCTGTAAACCGAGGCAAACAAAACCTCAGCCATCTCCAGCTAATTCACCCCAAAATTCCTGAAATTTATGTGAATATGTATAGACCCCTTTCCTGAACTGTACAGAAACTGTACCCCAACTCCCACTCAGGGAGTCAGATTTGGGTACCGGCTCCTGTCTCTTTACCACGTGCATGGTAATAAATTATCTTTCTCATCTCTCAAGTACAGCAGGGTGTGTGAACTGATTTGGCTTAATCACGTATCAGGGAAGGACTCACTTTAGTCTTACTTCAGTGAGACAGGAGAAGGCTGCAGGGCCTTGTGTGGAGAAGTACACACAAGACTCACTGGTGCAGACAACAAAGATGAACCCTTTTGCATATACAGTACTGCACTGACAGTGAAGGCAAACATGGGTATATGGGTGGATAGATGGGTGAACAGGCTGAACTATTAGGTATGTCTATGCAGCAGGGAGTATACCCAAGACCATATGCAGGGTTGGCAAACAGTGGTTCTACAAGTGTATTTGAATGTTCTGTAAGAATACCCAGGTGCATAGTAGAGCTGACAAGGGACAAAGTTGTAGTCACTTCTCGGTCACAACCAACTACCCAGAGGCAGCGAGTAGTTGAACCTGTGGGCTCAGGACCATAGTCACAAGGGACATCAAGCTCAATTGGCATAGCATACTACACAAAACACCGTTCCATTTCCTACTTGAGCGAATAGTGACTGGGATCTTAAAAAGCTTGCAAGCAGCCATCTAGATACAATGACGGGTCTCTCCTTGTCCAGAGCAAAGAAGAATGAAAAAAAACAAAGATTCATGGAAACAATTAGTCCTAGCCACTGGTACACCATGCGATCTGCAGCCTATATGACTATGAGACCAGAAGAACTTGATGGTGCCCAGCTACCACTGTCAACCACCCAGAGGGGGATCTATGTAGGAGATCCTGGGTGGAGAGGGAGAACAATGTGGAACAAAACTCAAAATCATTTGGGGAAAAAAAAGGGGGGGGGCCGGGTTTGCTGGTCTGATAGAGCCTGGTGAAACC